GTATGTTTTCATTAGTGTTTAACATACTTAGAGAAATAATCTTGAACAACAAACACATACCTGTTGCCACAATGTCTTCCCAAGCCTAGAGGCTCCCTCCTAGCCACTTGTTTCCCATTCACCATAACCCAAAGTGTTGGTATGTGATAGCCTGCAATGAGACTCAACAATCAGCTATCTTGCTCGAGAATGACTGATCCCACCTTAAAGGTGGAACCCCAATAAACTTTATTGTATACAGTATGATTTACTGTTTGTACTTTCATTTCAGTTCGCAAGCTCTTACTGTACTGTCTTCCCCTCATTTTCTGAGATGCCCAGCAGGAGAACAGCCATATGGTGGCTGGTGCCCAGCTGGCACGTACAGCTGAACCAGGCACCAGCACCAGCATTCACTACATATGTGGGCTGAGGTGTTATTCAGGGAAATGGCTGCAGTGGCCTTGCCATTCCACAAAATATCTGGTTGTGGTCTGATGCAGTTTTGGAAGGATGTTATTATTGTCACTCCCTACTCTCTGCTGTGCTGAGCTTGTATATGCCTGTGAGGATTGATGTCAGAGCCAAGATGCCAATTATAAACTCTATGCATATTCTGCATTCACAAAATAATTAGTGAAATTACTGAAATGGCACAAAGCCTGTGAGGTAGTTCAGGAAAACAACTGAAGTCTGCTGTTACTCTCATATGACACACATGACAATACTTGTGGCAATATTTATCCTGGGCACCCTGCATTAGAACATTATTAGCTGCCATTGCACTGTTCACCTGAAAACTCAGTGGCTAACTATATGAGTGGATTCAGTGGATGTTGTGGTGAACTTGTGAATGCTTTCAGGGAGTGATAAGGTCACAGCCTTGAAACCATATACCTTCTCTGTATATATAGTTTCACAACTAACACTTACATCTGCTTCTTAAGAGTTGTGTGACTGCAATTGTAACTAAATTAAGGCAACAAGCTTAAAGACGCACCACTTGACATTCAAAAGGCCGAGCCATACAAACAGTGAGACAAGTAAAGCTTTAAAGATAAACACCAGAGGCTATTATTGCATCAATCCAATGTGCTGGAAAACACATATTATATTCAATGCTACTTGAGGAGTTGTGACCTTGGTATGTATTGATAAGACAAAGACAACAGTTTAAATGATCCATTAGTGTCTCAAGTATTAACAAATGTTAAGTAGCCAAAAGAGATTAATGTTTTAACAAACAAAGCTCAGCACATTTTGAGATTACTGTGCTTCCCTCTGACGACTGGACAAGTATGTAATACATGTTATTTAAAGACATGTTATTTAATTCATTCATTTATCTCACTTGTATGTGTGCTATTGTTCCCTTTACATAGATTTGTTGAAATAAAGATGCCTACATAATCTGTACTCTGTCACTGTGCATTTTGTGACAATTTGGTGGCCATTTGGATTATAACAAATGTAGGCTAACTACTGCATAACAGCAGGGATGGATGGTGCATTATGACTGGAGGGGATTGGCTGTCAGCCAGGACAGCTATAGTATGTGTGCTGGCACAGCTCTCAGTGCAGGTGTCACAAGGATATTGCTGTGGCATGAACCATTTTGTCAGAAACTATCATCTAAGTTTACAGAGAACATCTCTTGCGATGATGGAGCTGATTGCATATTCATTTGCACTTATGTGCACTAAGCACTAACACTGAGCGGGTCAGTGTCATGCAAAACCATCTCACTCAGCAATTTAGAAAGCATATTTGAAGAGCATTCCCATACCTTTTTAAGTCAGTGCTGGTAGCTTTTCAAAGAGTCACATCCATTTAACAAATAAAAATGGTATTTGTACTTTCCACAATTCACCACAGGCTTGTAAGTCTTTGAACTGAATGTACACAAATATTGCCTTCTCCTCCAACAGTAAGATTACCTGACACAGACATTATAATCTATAGGTCTTTATTTATTTTTGCAGATAACATATATTGCAATCATGCTTTTTCATATAACACCATCTAAAGACATTTATTATATTTTTACATTGAATATTTTACATTAGGCCCATGAAACAGCTAGAAATATACAAAACAATATTCTCTGACTAGACATTTCTATTACATTATTATTATCATCATCTTTATTATTACTCTATTCTGTTATTGTAATTATACTTTTTACAGATGAGAGAGATATGTGCTTTAGTTTCTGAGATAATAATATTATTGCAGAAAACAGCAAATAATATCACACTTATTGTTCAACATTTAGACAAAAGAAAAGAAAAACTCAGGTTGTACGGACATTCACAGATACATGTATTACACAGTCCAGTTTACAACATCATTCAAGAGAGAAAACTGCAGTATGGTAACTTTATACAAAATTCACGGAACCCTTTGTCATTGCACATTTTATATCACATATCTTTGAGAAAAAAAAACATAAATAAAAGAAAAGAAACGGGACTGATTCAACCTGATTCCTGTCGCATGTAGCTGCCACAGAAGCAAATTTTCTTGATCCTCCTTTATAGTAATACAGTGATATCTGTGGTCTGTCACAAAGTCAGCTTCTATATATATATTTTATATTGCCGAGCAAACTTGATATGTAATAATAGGTTTTTCTTTATCCTATGAAAAGGAGTAGTTTCAGTGGTGTTGGCCTATAGCATCTGGCTATGTCCTGTTATGTTAACAGTGCTTTTGCAGACTTTGTCCTCTGACTGAGCCAAAGTTTCTCTTTCACTCTCCTGGTCTGATATTAAAATCTGCACTCGCCACAGGATAGAAACACATTTTGGCTTCTATTAAAATGACTGAGTGAAGGCCGTCACAGTTCATTTACACTGAAAGAAATTATGCTAGCTGAATAGCACACAGAAAAGAGGCAACAATTTGGATCAGCTTTCGAGTGTGCCCAATTATGTGTGTGTGTGTGTGTATTTTAGGTTTTCTTACTAATTTGTGTATTCATGTTTTGCTGCTTCTTAAGGTATGTTGGATTAATGGGAGAAACAGTCAGATATTTAATAATAGGTGTGTTTTTGTTTTTTAAATACAGCATTCATTGTTTCAGTGTATAATGGTAGTATCTGAGAGAATTTGGTCACGTCCACCTTTGTTCCTGAGAAGTGGGTTACTAAATAGATATACAAGTAAACGGTTCCAGTCAGAATAGTGGTGGCTATCAAATAAATCCATCATACAGTCTCCAATGCAGCAGCCACTGTAGCTTATTCGTTCTCACAGTTTAATATATAGATTTAATAAAAAGAATTAGCATTGGCTTACTGCAACACAATGTCTTCCTACTTAACTGGTTATCAGGAAAAGGAAAACCTACATTTTCCAAATAATTTCAGGCAGAAATAGTATGCACAGTGCAAATGTGAGATTTCTGTATTGGCTACACCTATTGTTAGAGGTGGTAGTTTACAGATCCAAATTGTGCTTGTAGGCGGATGCTGTCTTTACTTTACCTACTGTACCCTGTTGCTCTTCAAAGAGACAAAAGGGATGTTTGATTTAAACCATATATAGTCAGCAAGTCAAATGTCTGCACCAATCTTTCAAACTTGAGTATGATTTTGGTCCTTCTCACTCTCACATATAGAAAATGACCTAAAAATGATTCTACAAAAAAGATTCAGACAACATACAAAGTTATTGTTCTTTAGAAAACAAAGAAACAATTATAACAGTCTCTTGCTATGTATCCTATGTAAGTTGTTTTTGCTGTTGTCACAAGTTTCAATCGAGCCAAAAAGAAGTTTCCATACTATCCTTGTGCTTTTCAAAGGTAGCCCCAGACATGGGTGGGTAAACATTTCAGGCGAACTGCAGGGTCTTGCACGGGAGTGATAGTCTGGCTAAATTATATTTTACACATACAAGCAGATTTGGCCTTACCTGTTGCACATTCCCATATTGTCTTTGCCTTAAATTGGTCAATATTCAATTTTCACTTTACAAACTTTCAAATTGCTTTTTTTTCACCTACTACACTGCATTCATTTTAATGTATTTATTTCATGTACAAGCAAAATGCATTTAACCAATATTTTTCTTTGTACAGTAATTGTAGTTTAATAGATTAATATCTTCAAAGTAGCACAATACTATTGAATCAACGCGGGCCTCCAAATTTAAATTATATATTCAATATACAGTAATTTCCTAAGTCACATTTCCTTTTCTAAGAAGACTAACTTTTTTGCATAATGAAATTCATAATATCACAACAATTTTGCTGGGTAGTTTGTTTTTCCTCATATGTTTTATAACTCTGTATTATACAAATAAACAAACAGAAAAACCCCTAAAAATAACTGTAATCAGGTTGGTCTCACGTGTCCCCAGGAGGTAGGTGAATAAAAGCAGACATGGAAGTCTGGTGGTCGTTCCCAACCTTGATTACGTTTCTTCTGTGTAGATCTCCTGTCTGGCTGTCGAGACAGAGAGACAGGCAGAAGTTTCTAGATGTAGGCTTCCTCGTTGGCAGGGTTCTGACTCTGGTTTTCTGTCTGCTGGTCTGGGCCATTTTCCTGAGCCTTCACCAGTTTCAAAGGCTTGATCATCATCCGCAGACGCTGCAAGGGAGAAGCATAGAGAGGAATAGTGAAATTGCTGATATCACACAGCTGAAAAATGCACAGATGGTGTTGAAATTACAATGAGACATTGTCATATACCATTAGTAAGGCCCAAACAGCTGCAAAATTTGTGATCAAACCCATAAGCTGTAACAAAACACACAAGCTACACAGCTGTGAGCCTGATGAATGCACAGCCTCAGGCTCTCCGCATTCTACAAGATACTCTCAGAAAAGACATTTATACATTTTCCCTGATGTGATTTAGGTATATGAATGAATACAGCCTTAGATATGGCTGATAAAATAACAAATTGCCAATACCATTCATGACACTAACAAATGTTTTTTGGGCTGAATTTACTGAACTCATAAAACTAAATCCAAACCCAGGGTGTGAACTACAGGAGAGCCACAGGGGAACTTGGTTCTTCTTAGTAAGACATGAGCTCCCCTGAAAACATGATTTGTGAAATATTGGGGGGTCTCTAAAATATTGACAATATGCTATTTTTGCCATGCATTTCTATTTTTCTATATCTTTATCATTATGGATTATGCATAAACTTAGGCTACTATTGATGTATGATTTGTGCATTAGGGTGATTCATCACTAATTAATTTAAAAGAAATAGATACTGCTATTCTTGCCACCACAATATCATTCACTTCAGATCAGAAAATATACATAAAATAAACGTTCCTAGTCCCACTGAGTTTGCACACCAAATCACCATTATTCATTTCTCTATTTTGTAATACTGTGCATCACGGTAATACAGTAAGCTCCCCCGAAAGCCATGGTATAGTTTGCACACTGATTAAACCATCCCAAACTTCTAAATGTTCTGAACTATGAGTAGTGTTGGACCCAGGCACTGTAGGCATTTATATGGAGTGTTTGTGAAACTAAGCGTCCGCCTGGGTGCAGAGCACTAATCAGCTGGCTGATTGCTACAATTAGACAATCAGCCATCAGCTGGTACTGCAGGATCTGACACCTGCACATCGCCTCTGACAGCCTCTGTTGCACTGCCTGCAATTATGGCCCATTTATTCTGTCAGCGGTGGCAATAAAGCTATATCTGTCACTAGGGACTGTATGGATGTAAGGATATTATTCAGGGCATTGTGAATGACTGCAAATCAAAAAGCTCTTAATATAAATGGCATGTCGGAAAAGGTATTATCTGCCATTGATTAGGATCATCAGATCAATAAAATGCAGTGTTTACTGAGAACTCAGTGGCTGCTGCAGCAAAAAGGCATCTAAAATTGTGTAACAGAACTAATTAGAAACTCTATTTTACTAATCCTTTTTTCTCTGTTCTAGTCTTCATGGCAATTTATCATGTCTTTACCCAGCATGCCTATGTGTTTGCTCATTAAAAAAGCGTTGAATTGCAGTTATAATGCACAGAGCAAAATCACATTGGGCTAAGCTTAGAATTTTAACATCCAATGTGAAGAGCCTTGCTGCAAAATTACATTCCAGGTACTACTTTCACTTCCAGCCATTATGTAAATGTTGTAAATGTAAGTGAAGATGACATAAATCCTGGATCAGAATACTCTGGTAAACATATTTGAGCCTGACTGTCTGTGAAAATCAACAGGATGACCTTAAATGTTCATTCCAGCTTCCTCCCATGGTTAAAACTGATCTCCTCTATAAAGTCCTCAGGGCTTCTATGTCGCATTTACATTATCCTCACAGAACATCAACACCATCTGAAAAAACACCACTGTGTTCTCTGTGTTGGATTTGTCTATCATGCAGAATGTAATAATATATTTCAGCCAAAAATCTTGCATACCAAATAATCTTCTTGAAACTCTTAACATAGAACCTGCCTCGCTGCCGAGTGCAGATTCAAATTCAAACCACCTAATATATGAGTAAAATGGGCGGGTAAAGTGATGCATATGTTCTGGCAAATCTGTGGTTCATATTGTATTTGCATTACACTAAACAAAACTCTTGGTATTTATATGCCAATATTCATATATGTATATAGTACGTATTCATTGCTTCTGAGCAAATACAGCAACAACAAAAAAAGGTCAGTAAGTCTTATTTAAGTAAACCGCATGGACTACTAGACTGAATCCACACTGATCTTACCTCTTTGTATGTGCCTTTGAGTGTGAGGAACATGTAGCCCATGTAGCCAGGGATGAGGGTCATTGAGGAGAGGGCCATGCACCAGCCAACCCCCTGGCCCCAGGCTGGGAACACATAGTCACCCATGGTGAGGGGAACCATCTGCACTGCACTAAACAAGAAGACTCCCTGAAAAGAAGGACAAGAAAATAGATCTTAGCACCTCATGCAGATACAGACTTAATAATTGCAGAACTGCACAACTTTTACCCCAAGAAGACTTTTTTTTTTCTAAAAAAAAAATGCTCTTGTTTGTCACTACTTGTTTTGACATTTAGCTAATATATTCTAAATTTGAACCTTATACATGAAGAAAAACTACAGAATCACATTTTGGTCACCTGTACATGGAGCACTTACTGATAATTAGGCCAATAATTACATCAAGTAAACATAATCAGGCGGCTTTGGATTTTCATGCACACAACCAACAGGCTAAGTGATGAGAAAAATCATAACAGTTATTATAAGATTATTATTAATAATTATCTATATGTAGCTTCACCCAAGACCTCATATGCCTAAATATTGCCCCTGATGATGATGTTTTTTTCCCTGTTGGAACATTATTTGTTAAATCATGAATGTTACCCGCAGATAACACTTACAGCCACGATGAGCGGCGTGAAAACGACCCAGCAGGCCTTCCACCACATACAGGGCCTGTAGCCAATCATTTCCTCAATGTTGTCATAGAATTTGTTCACACCTGGAACCGAAAAGATAAAGTAGTTAATTTTAATTGCCATGTTGTGTGAATAGATGCAGTCCATAATTCATGATCTCAAAAATGTTTCTAGTCTGGATCTTAGATGTTAGATCTTGAGATTTTAGCTTCCAATAAGCCAGCAACAAGAGACAGAAATTTGTAGTGTAATTTTTAGATGGAAAAACAGGTTGAAGAAGACTGAGACATGTATAGTGTGGCTCACCATAAAACCATGAAATTGAGATGCACTCAAAGAAGACCAGGAAAAGCAGGCACATTCCACTAGCTGAGTAGTAGTCGAATAGCTTAAACACGTACAGTCCACCCTGCAACAGGAGAGAAGCAGAAAACAAAAGCTAAGAAGACAATAAACCAGAAGACTAAGGGGGAAAAATTGAAGAAGCAATTATAGTATTGGATGTGCAGCACTGTACTAAATCGGTCAAGTGGAATAACATCAAGGGCGAGAGCACCAGCGGCTGTGGCTGGTGAGAGTTAGTGACCTCTCATTGGTGAGGATAGAACTGGTGCTAAGACTTCCTTTTGGAAACTGCGTTACTGTGGATGTGACGAGATCAGACCAAGAATCTCCTTGAAACATTTCATGTCTGCCCACAATCTCTTGCAGCTATCAGGTCTTTATGAAGACTAGCTCAGAGGGACCTGCTACAGTTCATCAACCCCTACCCTGTGAAGCTTGATATATTTTAGACTGCCTGGAGCAGCGATTAGAGTAACTGGGCTGTGCGTGTGGCATGATGGAAATCCAGTTTGGCAGAAGTAGAGGGACAATGCAGGGTCTTCGAGTGTCATTAGCAAACATGACCTTGGCCTGCAGTGATTCTGTCATTTTTGGCTCACAAGTTGGCAGACACAGATGAATCTTGCCAACTTTTTGCTGACTTTTAGCTCCTTCCCTTATTGTTTTTTATAGTTTCTTTTGATTGAAATCGCAACAAAATGATCACTGTACCTTGTGTAGCAGTAGCCAGCAGTAATTTTGTAGAAAAAAAAATCAAATAAATGATAAAAAATACTTTCAAGATGTCTTTTGATGTGCTACACTGAAGTCTGACACAGAAAATAAAGAATTTATGTCAACCATGTTTAAATTTGCATGTTGAGGGATAACATTAGACCAATATAATTAAACAAATATTATTATTTCTATTTTAAGACAAATTAAGCTAAACAAATTCAGTAGTAAAATAGCATCTTCGTGGTAATATTAGAGTAGATATATTTTATTTATTTGAGAGCATGAATGTGCTCAGCAAATTTCATGGCAAACCTGCCAGTTAAATAAGACACTCTGCGTGCAGAAGTGGTATTTCAACCTTAGGGGGGGCTAGAGGAAGTGCATAAAATATGTATTCAGTAATACAATTTATAGTAATCTACCCTTCAGACTAGGATTTATTTGTTTAAATTAAATGGCCTGATGGTGGTGCTAGCAGAAAAGTCAGGAGGTTACCAAAAGCATTAAGATTGATCCTCTGTGGACCATGAATATATACTACAACTTTCATGCCATTCAAATACCATGCCATGGACCAAAGTGTAGACAAAAGCTCAGATGACTAATCATACACATAAAGAACAGTAAAAACACTGTAAGCACACCATAAAAATACAAAATTTCACAGCAATCTGGCCTATTACTGTTAGATATCATACCCGGGACCCAAGTGTTGGACAGACAGACAAATGGACAGACAAACCAACTGAGCATATCATTATCCTTTCATCCAGAAGAGGGGACGAACATTTGGAGCATTTTTTTGCCCCATTTACAGCAGCTATATGCACTATTTTTCAAGCCATTGGAGATAATGCGTAAGTTCTGTACATCATTTGGGGAAAAAAACATGTAGCTGCCCAGGAAAAAATCATCCTCTAGAACACACATCTTATTCTCTATTTAATTGTACTACTTTAATTGTATAGCTGTCTTCATTATTCTGAAACCAAACCACAACAAATGTTGAGGGTGACTAATTTTCACTCCTACCACCTAAAAACAAGAAAAAGTAGTTAAGGTTGACTCCTCATGGAAAAGACAAAGAGAGACAACAGCCCTTAGACAGGGATATTTTTCCAGTAATATAAATTACTTAATAAACTAGAGGAAAGACTCAATGTTGACCAGAATATGGCAACAAATATTACTTTGTTATTCATTCTGATGCTGTATATTAGTGTTTTCGAACTAACTATCTAGTAATATCTCTAAAAGCTGGTGGATTATCCAATAAGAAAGAAGTATTTACCTGTGTGATATTGGACAGTCCAATGATGTAAGAAACAAGGCAGACGATTGCGATAAAGATCTCTCTGCGTTTTCGGAGAATATGAGGGAATTCATCAACCAGTGCAGTGATGAAGCCTTCCACAGTGCAGAACTGGAGGGGTTGCAGAGTTATATCAAAACTGTGTTACAGAATGTTGCCACAGTAAAAGTATTAGGTAAATATCTAAGGTTTAGAATTAGCTTTCATGAATGAAATAGTAAGAGCAAGACACATTACAACAGAATCCTGACCCTAAACATGAACTTTCTGTTAATTTATTTAATTTTTCCTTTTATTTGTCAAAGGCTGGAACATCAGCACTTTGCTAAATAAAAATGGTCCAAAAACACAACTGAGACCATTATTTATCGTTAACCACAGTTATTTTTACCTGGCTGTCAATTCCCAGCATCAGCAGCATGGAGAAAAAAAGAATGGCCCAGAGAGGAGAGATGGGCAGCTGGGTGACAGCCTCAGGATAAGCCAAAAATGCCAGGCCAGGTCCTGACAAAAGACAAATATTATACACACAAAAAATTGTTTATTTAAAGGTCAAATGTGTAGGATTTAGTGACATCTAGTGAGGTTGCAGATTGCAACCGACCTGGGAATGAGAATGAGCTGTGACATGTGTAGGAGAAACTATGGTGGTCACAAAACTTGCAAAAAACATAAAGGCCCTATCTACTGCCAGTGTTTGGTTTATCTGTTCTGGGCTACTATATAAACATGACAGTTCAACATGGCAGAATCCATGGAAAGCCACCTATAGCCTCTGTGTGTAGTGTCATTTTAAGGTAACAACAACACAATAACTCTTATTTTCAGTTGATTATACTCTAATGAACACATACCTATGAATATTATATTCATTGCCAATAGATCCTCTCTAAAGTTACACACTGGCATTTTTACCTACCATTTTTAACATACATACTCAGAAACTATGAATGTAACTGTAATGCTAGATAAAACCTAACATTTCCCTTAGAAGAAAAAAGTGTGAGTGCTCATTGTCAAACTTGAGTATTTACAAAGAACAGAGAGTTTTGCTAAATGACTGAGCATTTTCTTTCTAATAGAACCAGATATCAAAACTCACATATAGTGACAAGCTAAAACCTTCCCTTTCCTAATGACAGAATAACATCAAGCAATTTCAAGGGCTACATTTTTGCACAGTCGTAAGTATCTCTTGCTTGTGCCTATTGTCACTATCGAGTTTTAACATTGATTGCAATTACCTGAGGCTGCCACATCAGCGATTGGTCTCTTTGTTACATTGGCCATGAATCCCACGATGGAGAAGATGACAAAGCCAGCGAACATGCTTGTGAAGGAGTTGATGCAGCAGACAATGACAGAATCTCTGTATGGGAGAGACAAAGCACAAGGCAGCCATTGTCACGCCTATATCAATTCCTTATCAACCCGTCACACATTGTCGAGAGGCATGGGGGGAAGGGATGGTGGAGAGCCATTTTGCATCCTGCAGTAGCTCAGCAGCTGAATACATTTATATTGACCTGTTATTTTAAAATGGCAGTGAGCTCCAGTAGTTTTTAAATAGTTTGAACCATAGATGTATGTAGGTGGGCTGCAGAAAAGTGTTTATCTGACAATGCGTCAGAGGCAAACCAAATGTCTGTGCCTATGAGTGTAAAAGAGAGGATAGAGCCAAAATAATGAAACAACTGATACAGCTGGAGGCTCAAATAGTCCCAAAATAGAAGGTACAGCAGACACTATGTTGCCAGGAAACCAAAAAAACCCAGGAAGAAACATCTGCACAGTCTCCTTTAAAAAAACAAAACAAGATGTGAGTGACCAGTGCTAGACATGAAAATTTCATCAAAACAGGTATTTATTTCATGTGGACAATGAAACTGAAATGCAACATATTATAATCATCTACCTGTATACGTTGTTTTTGAAAGGATTGTAGCTGCCAAGAGCAATCAGAGAGCCTAATCCCAGCCCGTAGGAAAAGAAGATCTGAGTGGCAGCATCCAGCCACACCTGACACACAAAGATTATAAATAAGATGTAAAATAATCAGGTATAGACATAAGTTAATGCTTAATAGAAATAAAAAAAATGACTTGTTTTATTTTCCTATTCATATGACCTCTTGTCATTTTGATTCTATTTAACTGATCAAGCCATGTACACTGTTGTACACTGTTACACTTTATTCAATCTGATGCACTCTGATCCCATTGCATCCCATCTTGATCAACTTAACTCACTAAGATCTTGCCTTATCTCATGATGTCTATCCACACCTCATCTAGCTTAATTGGATGCTCTTTTTCAGCTTAAATGATAAATCATTTATTCACAATCACTACCGAATAAATTAATACAATCGTATGAGTTTTATTTTTCTGGACAAAGATGCATTAGCCTGAATATCACTGGCACTTCAGCCTTTTCAACAACGTGAGACCCTACAGTGTTCTTTACAATTACCCTGCATCAATATAATAAATACAAATGTACATAGTCATCACAAGAGTTAAACTTTTCATAAGCTTGTTGCTCTGCTGCTCAAGGGAGAATACACTAATAGCAATGTGTTTTTTTTGTGTCTGGGTGCTAACAGACATCCTGTCTACTATTTTGCTGCTGATGCAGTTAAGAGTGATTGTCAGACATTATCTGTGGGTGTTAGTATTAATACTGTGCACTCACTGAGGATATATTTGGATAAGATTGAGGTATGTACACCCCTTAATGACTAACTACAGTACTCTTTGCCTAGATTCAAGTACAGTAAGTACAATTGCATTACCGTAACCTGCAAACCTTCTGAACACATTCCACTGGGGCTCAGTTTATCCTCTGCAACCACCTTTATTTTAGTGGTCAATAAAGTGCTATACGTGTTCCTGAATAGGAACAGCTTTTAGTCATCTAGATCTGCAGAGTGAGAGAGCAGAGGGTGCAGACAACATACCTCAGACTGCTTAAGTTTGTCAAAGTCTGGTGTGATATAGAAGAGGATTCCATCAATTGCACCAGGTAGAGTGACGCCACGGCAAAACAGGATGAACAACATGAAGTAAGGGTATGTGGCTGAGAAGTACACCACCTGTGGGACACAAAATTGTAGTTAAAAAAAAATAAGCCAAAACTAACTAACTAATCGCACCATTAGTGAGCATTATTTTACTTGGAATATTTATCCTGCAAGGCAACAAAACTGCAGAAGAAGTGAGAAGTTGTTCAACTCATGAACAGTGTTACAGGACTGTGGCACCATCCCCACAGCACAGTGCAGCACAGTGACCTAGTCAGCCATTACCCCAGAGGCAAGATGACCCCAGATTGGTTGGGTTCAGCACACTCCCAGTGCAGTATTTCCCTCCTTATCTGAACTAATTTTGCACTGCACAAAAGTCAACACAATTCAGATCATACATGATAAAATCTACTGAATAAGAAATTAACCAGCAGAGATACTGACATTGACACTGTTATGTATATAAATCAAGAATTATTCTACAATGATGAATCTACCATTCATAAAGGGTTATGTGAAGTTATATAATCCCTTCATTTGAACTATAATCCAACATGTCTTTGTGCCAATTCTATGACCTTTACCATTAAGATGATGCAAATTCAGTTCACGATGGATTTTGCTTTTCCATTTTGTTTTGTCTTTGTCCTCTTCTTATACTTACTTTGCCAGTCCAGCTGACCCCCTTCCAGATACAGAAATAGACGAGCACCCATGCAATGGCTAGTGTAATAGCCAGTGGGACCCTGACCTCCCCAGGCTTCTCCAGACCATCGGTCAGCTGGTGCATGTTACGTCTGCAGGGAAGGAGTAAAGTGGTCTTACTACAACACACAAATGCATCCTCGATCTCATACATGCAGCATGCATGGGTGCACACACATAAATGCACACGTGTCTGGGTATTCACAAAGACCCCATTTCCTTGCTTTCTTTTCTCACCCCTAAAGCTTTTTTAAGATGCCACAGTCAAAGGAAGTAATGCACGCATGTCTACACGCAATTTTTTTACACCCAGTTTTTTCCCTGTAGGCTTGTTTGAGGCCCTTTATTGTATGTGCACTATTTTTGTCCTTCTAGAAGTATCTGGTGATAGATGCATATTAAAAGGATTTGGTTAACCATTGGATCCTCAGATCTAAATGACCACAGCAGACTCCAACCCTTTCTTTCATCTTTCTGTGTGGTTCAAATCTGTTCACAACAAAGCAGTATCCCTGTGATCTTAACAGACTTGTGTGTGTAGCTTACTCCCAAAACTCCTGCACTGCACTGGTGAGGTTTCTGGTGTCTGGGATGCTGTAGTTGGTGTAGCAGCGGTCTGTGTTCCAGGGATTGCCACAACTCTGCCATGGGAGATCCTGAAAATTAAAGGAAAAAAAGAGAAAAATCACACAGACAGCTCTTTTTACTTGGACCACTCTCCCACCGCCGGGTCCCATTCTCTCTGGCTGTCGAGCAGCCAAGACCATGATACTCATTGAGATTTCATGCTTTTCTCAGTGAGTGAATGCCTCATCGCCAAATGCATTTATCAATACCTTGTGTAAGGCTCTAATTATGTGGGAAAGGAAGTAATAAATGTCATACCCTATTAAGGTCTGTGCACCCTTATATAAGAGGTGCTGGCAAACAGAACCTACTACATAACTAAAATGTAAAAAATTCAACCTGGGCAAAAAAAAAAAAAGAGAAAGAAATAAAATCTGTCCTTTGTTCTGATTCAAAGGGAAACAAACATTTTTGGTGAGAAATCAAAGAAACTTGACTACTTTTTCTTTCCTAATTTTTCAAAAGGTATTCAAGTCCTATTACATTGTTTTATTAGGGAACAGCATGAATACAAATATCAAATACTCACAGCAGTGAAGGAGTTGTACAGATAGTAAATAGCCCAGGAAATGATTACAATGTAATAGATATTTAGCCAGAAGGACAGAACAGCAGCAGCCAGACCCACACCTGAAACAATGGGAGAGTAGAGGTGTAACGTTAAATTGCGCTGAAATATTTATGTTGAAATAAAATGAGAATAATAATATACATAACAATCTTATGGAAGCTTTGGTAGTTTACGAAGGATACATCTTTGCCCTCTTTTATGCAGTTACAAAGATCCCCAATTTTCGACTTCGACTATTCTACCTGGCCTTCACGAAGCCGGTTTTAAAAAAAGCATAATTTAGGCCTTAAAGATACAGTGAAGTGTATTTTACCTTTGAACATGGGGGCCAGCTTCCACACTCCAAGCCCTCCAATAGAAGTGTACTGACCAAGAGCCGTCTCCAGAAAGAACAGGGGCATGCCAGCAAATATGAGGGTCAAAAAGTAGGGAATCAAGAAGGCCCCTGAATGAGAGGTGAGAGGTAAAGGTGTGTAAGTGAAGGTGAATCATAAACTATTAACATTCATTATAATCCACACAAGATATTTGGTAAAAGGAGTATTTGTTTTCAAACTGCGCCCCAGATCACCGTGCAGGCTTTCGCTTGTGCGCATTTACGCACGGCTTAGAGGGTGTCAATACACTTTAGATTTATTTTAATTAAAAACCTCCGGGTAGCAAACAGGCAGGTTTTGATGTCGAGATCTTTGCACTCCTTTTGGCGTATTGATTAATGGAAAATTGCCAAGAACTCCTGTTTACCTCCTCCGTTTTTGCCACATAAATAAGGAAATCTCCACACATTTCCGAGTCCAATTGCGTATCCGACACAAGACAGAAGAAAGTCAAATTTTCCACCCCACGTTTCTCTCTCGGGTAGCTCATTTTTCGTCTTCTGCACTTTCACCACCAACGTTTTGGGTTTGTCGTTTGGCGTGGTGGTGGGCGCGTCGTTCACCGTCTCCGTTAAGACGTGTCCGTCTGAGGCTTTGGTCCCGTTGGTGGCCATGGTCACTGTGCTTGTCGGATAGTCCTGACCAGTGGAGAGGAAGTTTCAGCACCGGTCCGGGCAGACGGCAGCTTCTCCGTCCTGTAAACCCAGCTCCCAGATAACAGCCGAGTGGAGACGAATAATCGGGGTGATGAGAGGGATCAAGAGCAGACGCAGGGCTAGCTTAGTAGAGGTCCAGAGACCCTGAAAACATAAACAGACACGTATAGAATTAGAAATAAATCTAATATGTCAAGTAGATTATAAAATGTTACTTGTTCCTCAAGCAAACAGAAATATTTTTTAAAATTAATGTTAATTGTTAATATGTAGGATTAATTTGCGTTAATTTTGCTGCCTAAATTAGAATTAGATTTCAGAAAAAAGTGAAGTTGGAATTATTCCCCTCATTAACTGAATACTTGTTTTCTGGACGAAAACACATTTTTAAGAATAAATATTTGGCCAAACCGCTTCTTTAGGTGGGCATCACACTGGCCTGTGCTGAAAACGAAGTTTATATTACTGGTAAAATGTGATTTTACACGAGTATTATGCATGCATCAATTCTAATTGAATGACATTTCTTCAGGGGTAGAGAGAGAAAAATGTGCCCCTCGATCCGTGAACCCCACGGGATCAAATAACGACTTCTCATGCAATAAGAATCACTTTTAACTGCCTGGAGTGAATGCATGTTAGCAGAAATTTAGAGCCTGGTTTTGTCCTTGATTCATTGCGCTCTAAATTCAATGGCCCACTTCCTACTGCTCCGGTACAAGAGAAGAGCAATTAAACACATTTAGGAGTCAGATGCGACGATCATGTCTAATGAATCACCCGAAGAGGCTAATAACTCACTGGAGTTTATGAATAGACATTTTCATCAAATATCTGTAGGGCAGAGTTAAAATATTTAATATTTATTTTATTTTCTAATTAATTAGTATTAATGCAAACAATTAGCTGCATCGTTTAGAAAACACGATTTAGTAAAGTTCTGCATTCAAAAATGTATATTATTTCATTTTTTTGTTTATTTTTACTTTTTAAAATACAAAATTAACATCTGCTCGTGATAGTTGAACGAATGAAACGTAGAGCGCTCTCTCTGCGCTCTCCATCACCCAGTGTGCGTAAATGTGAAGCGCAAAATGAGGTGACATAGTACCACATCTTTTGATATTTTATATTATCATCTGTTGATAATATTCCATGTTCATACTTCAAAGAGACACACATCCTCAAGACAAATTAGGATGTAGTGAACAAAGAATTATGTGTCATTTTCTTCGAAACAGATTAACATTTACATATGACAAATTCAAAACATGTGGCTGCAGGACTGAAGGATCAAATACATTAATGACCCTCATGTTACCCCATCAAGTCTCTTGCATGAAGTGAAGTGCAGTCGCACATCTTCGCACAAATTCAGCGCATCTGCATATGCCAAATTCCTCAGTAGTTCTTAGTGTAATACAATAACACACAGACACAAATCTATCCCTGATATACGTAAAATATAGACGGTATAACAAAATACTTACAATACAATCCTAATTTATTATTTTCCCGATGGAGAAATCCGGATTTTAAGAAAAGTTACTTCCTTGCACTTTAAGAATCAAACCAAGGTGAAAACTTTGCATCCGATGAAAGCGAGCAAATATACGATCCTGAGGGGTGAGGATGGTGGACAAATGCGTCTTTAAGAGTGAGGTGCTGTCCTGAAAGGAGTGGTGCTGAAAGAGAGGAGGGGAGAGAAGACGGGGAAATGAGCTGCCGCCGTCTGAGTTGAAGCGAGCAGGGACGTAACATGGAGCGCAGGATCCTCACTCTCATCTACATAGCGTCAATGTCACCTCAAAGTCGACCCTCCCCAACTCCAACATTTCCACCACTGAGATGGCAGCGGGTTTGAGAGAGGAGCATCCTCTTGTCTCAGGGTTTTATATCCTTACTCCTGCAGCTTTTTTTTTACATCATCAAGTTCTCTCTCTCTCTCCCTCTCTCTCCCTTTCTGACTCATTCAAGGGCCAGTTGATGCATAATATAGACACCTATGGGTTACTTAACATTTTGACAACATCATCTATTAAGTGTAAAGATAACTAGCTTCCATCAATTTGCCATACATAACAGTGACACTATTTTCATTTTCTAAACTTCCATCCAACCAAATTTGGGTTAAATGATGTGAAACAGTCTGTGTTAAAAAGTCCATGCTATGGGTAAAAATAAGTAATGCTGCATCAAATGCAGCCACTCCAAAGTAACAGATACAGAGGAAGATGCCAGCAGTTGCTCTAGCTCCTGGCAAAACATGATAAGAGGGTCCCAGCCAATAAAGGGAGTCAGGGTGTGTGAGATAAATTGAAAACTGTGCCTATAATCTTCTTAGCCCGCTGTCTTCCAAAATGAAATACCCTTGTGGAACATCCCAAATGAGCAGTCTTAAAGCAGACTTTAACTCCCACATCGAGATAAATTATTAGGGTCTCACTGGGAGATTAGACTCTCGCAGGGTTTAACAGTTAAAGTTTGAGTTGTGAAAATGAGTAAGGATTAAACCAATGTTAGTACGAAAAAAACTACATCTGCTTTTGGGAATGACAAGTGCCTGACTGATGGAAACTGTGATGGTGATATTTAATTTGTCCGGTATTTCGTTTGTTGTAAAGCTGTCAGGTGACACCTTATCATTAGTTATGATATTCTGATGCCAAAGCAGCTTCATTTTAATGTCAAGTGGCATCATATGCAATGTCATGGCTTATGTCACTGTTATGGATACATGAAATGCTGGAGTGTGTCAAAAATGTCAAACAAATACCCACCCACAAACAAATAACCATTTCTTCTCCTTTTCCATCCCTATTTCTCTCATGTCTTGCTTCCTTTGCTACCCCCTTTTGTGCTAAGTTGCCCAAATCTTTCCCTTCCATCTTTGGTTCTTTTTGTCTCTGTCCACCATACTGTAGGCTGTGCACTGCTGATACTGAAAAGCCTTGTTACAAGGAGGGAAGGAAAGAATGCCCAGATGGTGAACCAATGAGGGGTGAGCTAACCTTCTAATGATACAAAACAAAATTTAGCATTTCTAATCCCAACTGGCTGATTGGCCTGCAGGCTGTGGCACCTCAGATGTGCAAAAAGCCTCCCGTTGACCTCCAGTTCTCACACGAGGGGAATTCAAAATGCTATAGTGTTGAGAGCTGGTGGTGCTGTGCTTGTGGCCCTGGCCCCACCTGATGGTGAGTCTGTGTGCAGTGAAGCTTGTAATTACAGAAGGAGGTGGTAGTAATAGAGAGAAGAGTACAGGCAAACACACAGGCAGACAGCTGGCCCCCTGTCAGTTTCACTGCTCAGTCATAAGGGACAAAAGGGATGCTCTGAAACTGTAGAGCAGATTATTGTTCGTGTGAGAAAGACAAAATGGTTATACTGATGATCATGACAGTGATAATGATGACAGATGCATTTTATAATGCAGGCTTATTTACAGAGGGTTTTTGAAATATGTTGCCTCTCACTTTCAGTATTTCTATGAGGCTTTGCATACATAGTGAGTGTATTTATGCACAACATAAATAGTACGAATATGAATAATAGCACCCCACGTATACCTCTTCAAACTGCAACTCAAGCAGGATTTTAATCTACGTATAAATACATTTTGTATATTGATAAACTTGAACAACTGCATGTGGATTAACATACATAGCTATGATGAGGGTCTAAAGCCATACCAACAGCTCTGAGAGGCTGTATTTAGGCACAGCAGTGCTTCAAGCTAAATGCTAGCATCAGCATGCTAACATTCTCACAATGACAATGCTAAGATGCTTTAGCAGGTGTAATGTTTACCATGTTTGCTATCTTTGTTTACTTTGTTAGCATGCCACCATTTGCTAATTAGCAATAAATATAAAGTACAGATGATGATGTCATTAGTTTTGCAGGTATATGGTGCTTTATGAAAAATTAAGGAGTCTTGAGTTTTGAGTCTTAAGTTTGTCTGTAACAAATGTTATGGCAATTCACCTAATCCACCAAAACCGCAAATGTTAACCCCATGGTGGCAGTAGAGGGTGAGTCAGGGGATCACCAAAGATATTAGGATTCATCCACTGGGGACCATGAATGTCTGTACTAAATTAGATGGCAATCCACCCAAAAGCTGTTGAGATATTTCAGTCTGGACCAGAGTAGTTGACTGACAGACTCAAATTGCCATCCCTATAGCCATGCTGCTGTCGTAGCTAAAAATGAAAACAAAGAAAGAAAGACACTGCAGACCTTCACCAAGACAAATAATCCAATCTATAATATGCAAATCTGCACTTCAGTTTAAATACAAGTTCACACAGGTTGTAAATCCCAAAACATCACACCCCTACTACACTCTTCCACCAAATTTCATGAAAATGAGACCAGTAGTTTTTTCTGAAATCTTGCTGACAGACAAACAAACAAACCTCTAAACTGCACAGAAACGTGACCTCCTTGGCAGAGATAAAAAAAGACCTGTGCTGTTATGCAAACTCACAGGAACCAAATCAAATATTACTGAAAATACCACCAGTAATAGTGTATTCTAATATGAAATGACTTTCACAGCAAATGAATATAAGTATTAGCATATGACTGAAAAAATTAATTCATACTATTCTTGGGAAAGTGGTGATTATTGTTAATAATACTATTATTATTATGATTGTTGTTTTTGTTGTTGTAAACAAGGACCATGCACAAAAACATTCATCTCAAAAATGAGAAGAGATGGTTTATGATTATTATTATTATTAGACTATTAGTTAATTTCCATCTGCAGTCTCTGAGCAGGTGCAAGCAAAGCAATCACCAGACACTTAAAATCTACAGACACACATCTGCATATAAATATCAGTACACCAATCTAGTACAACAATAAAATTACAATTCATTACAATACAAAAATCGAAAATGCAGTCAGATTATTGTTTTCATAATTGGTTGGAAAACAATGAAAGTCTGTGCAAGTTTTAAGCTCCGCTGGGGACCAATGTTTCATGGCTGTTATTTAACTACTTTAAAACTGACCTTTTGCCAGCCAAACACACCAAACAGGGTCAAAATGCCTCTGTCTATTCATCAACATAATTGCATAACATTACAGTCTTACAGTATTATCAGACTGGATCAGCATGTTAGCTCTGAACCTGTGTGAAGTGCATGAATCGCCTGCAGTCACTTTTCAAGTCCGCTTTAATGCTTGCCAGTCAATGCAAAGTGTACATTAGCATCTCAAATACGTGGTTTGAACTGACATTTTTTTTTAAGATCGTTGTATGTTGGCTTGAGCTTATGAAAATCAATGTGTGTGTGTTTGGGCATATAAAAGAGAGATAAAGACTGAAAGGTAAACAGAAAGACACACTGACAAACAAACAGACAGACAGACAGAGCCCTGTACTGTAGCTTTTCTAGGTCTCTTAATCCTAAAAGCCTCTGTTCTTTTTGGGTGGTTGGTAGAGGGTGGGATTGTTGTCAGGACCAGTTATGTGTAACACTGCAGGCCCATAGAATGTGTCTGGCTCTTCATTGGTAAGTCAGTCAGGTAGGACGCTGCTAGGCCTCTCCAGAAGAGCCTCGTTGCGACGTTTCCGCTCGCAGTGAAAAGATGGAGACAAAGTGATGTGTCTGTTGCCGGGTGATTCACAAAAAGAACCCAGGGTGCATTTCTAAAAAAGGGGGAGGGTGGAAACACAGAGGCAAAGTAAAACAAATACTGGCCTCCTTCCCTGCCTCCCTCACTCTTCTCACAGCCAGGCAGGAATGTAGAAGTCAACGAGGGCCAAAACGTTCCTGCCAAGCCAGCTTATGCTGAAATGTAGCAACATCTTTAAAAACTGTACCATGAAAGAAAGGTGCAGATTAAAACACTCACTAAATTGGCAATTTGATTTATTCCCTAAACATGAAGAACATGTTTGGAGAATTGCCAGAATGAAGACTAACTCTAAATCAAAAGGCAGCTGTACATTTCCTTTCCTAAATTTATGCAAGTTTTTCTCTGAATCAATTCAATCGTTCAAGAGCTGTCATGCTCCCAAGTGTCAAAGAACTGTCAAGCTAGTAGAGATGTGTACAGATGTGATGAGCGATTTATTGTAAATGTGCCGTGACATTTTTTGACCCCTGTCATGATTTATCATAACATCAGGGACACAAGTTGCAAAAGGTTACCAAGGTGCAGTGGATGAATATGCAGCATGTCATTCTGAGTGTACAAGGTAAAAGGTCAATTAAGAAAGAAAACGCTGGTTTTCCATGACTGATGACAGAGCTGAAAAATTTAATATTAAATACATGGTGTCATTATGTGCGTAAGGAGTAAGAGTAATTATGATGCAGTGACAGCTACAGTGCCCATTGCTTTTTTCATTTTACATTGAAAAATTTAGATTAAAACTAATACTATACAAAAGTGTGTATAAAATTGTGCGAAGTAAATGTTGCCTTTCCGTTCCAATAGTTTAAATCTGGAACAAAGTGCTGGGCCAACCATGATTGCCACCCCTATAGTCATATCACTAGAATTATAAAAAATACTGTTCTGACAAAATACTGCAACAAATTTCATGGCAATCCATCCTTTAGTTGTTGAGGCATTTCATACAACCTAATGTTTGCAATAGGACAGCCAGGGGATCACTGAAATCAGCTAACTTTATTCTCTGGGGACTAGTCATTTCTGTACATAATTATGACCACCCATGCAAAGTGTTGGACCTTAGAACCTCCAGCATGGCTAAAAATATTTGAAAACTTATTCAAACGGAACAGTATGTGACCAAGTCTATGTCACTAATATGCTTTAATTAACACACAAATGAAAAAGCCCCCATGAAAGCATAAATAAGG